ATAATATAGAAAAATTATTATATTAGATTTACTCATTTATTTTAAGGTAAGTGGTTGCAAACAATTTAAATGGGCTGAATTTAAACATTTATTTCCTTCAGCTTAGTCCCTATATTCATCAGGGGTTGCCACAGGGGAATGAACCTTCAACTTATTATACGTTTTACACAGCAAATGCCCTTGCAGCTGCAACCCAGTATTGGGAAACACCCAATCACATTCATTCTCACATACACTACAGCCAATTTAGATTGTTCAATAAGTTTGGACTGTGGGGAAAACCTGAGTAATGCAATCTCAGCTTGCATGAGGCTGCTTCCAGATTCTATTGCGAGGACACCCATGCCAACACAGGGAGAACAGGCAAACTCCATACAGAGATCCCAACTGGACACGAACCAGCGACCTTCTTGCTGTGAGGTGACAGTACTAACCACTGAGCCAAACAAATTCAATGTAGTAATGTTCAATTTAATTTGTTTGTTTAAATTAAGCCCATACAAATTGTTTGTAACCACTTACCATTAAAAAAATGTAGAAAATTCAATGACTAATTTCCATCAGTGTACTCGCTCTCGAGCACTTTTAAAATCACTACTTTTTACTCATACTTTGAGTAATATTTACAACATATACTTTTACTTGCACTACATTTTGGATCAGTAATTGTACTTTTACCAGTATGATTATGATTTTTCAGTACTTTTTTTGTTTGTCACAATCAGCCAGTAGCCTGTATATGTGCACATGCGGGCAGACTGAGATATAAACACACACTGACAGAAAATCACACCCATGACATCTCTTATTGTGATATTTTAGGAAAGGGTGTCATAGACTAACCCAGGTGATTTCCAGTGCCAAAAAAACTAACATGACTGCTTTTTTTGATTGCTCATCAAAGATGCCTCAAGGCATTTGTCATGCGTCTTTTGGGTGGGGGAAAAACTAACTGCAATTATTTATTAAAAAGCATAGGCTTGTTTTAGAAATGATTCAGGCAAATTAGCATAGCACGTTCAAAACATGCAAGATTATGTTCACTGAATACTAAAATGTGGATGAGATAATGTTGTATGAGCATGTTATTTATGGTCAAATAAAATAAATAGAATTTATTTGGGGGGGGCAGCGCTGGGTTGTGGACGAAAGTGAAGAGCGGGTGGTGGGGGGGGGTTATGTTTGGGGTTTGTGGTGTCGCGGACGAAAGTGAAGATCGGGGAAGGGGGGGGTGTGGGGTGTTGTGGATGAAAGTGATGAGAGATAGTGGGCGGGGGGTGCTTGTTCAGACGAAAGTGAAGTGGTGGGGGGAGGGTTGTCACGGACAAAAGTGAAGAGAAGGCTGGGGTCGTGGATGACCCTGTTTTATCTGGTTCTTGAATCTGATTGGCTGATGGCCGTGCAATATTCTGCAATATTAGCACTCGTACAGCCTATAAACGCAATATCACATGAGTATTCATGCAAAATGGCTGGATATTGTCAATGGCGTGCGTTGGCTTAAGGCTGCAGGCCGAGTGCCTTTAGTGTCCCACCAGTGCTGATGTACAGTCATATCGAACTGCTACGAGTGCGATATTGCGTTTATACAACAGTTTGACGGCATTGATCGTGTGTATAAAAAAGAAAATCAAACACAGAGAGTCTCAAAAATACTTTTGTAAAAGGAACTACTTTCCTCCGCCATTCATTCATTCACATCTGCAGCTGATGTCAGAACAGCAGAAACTGTTGCTCACTCACCAACGTCACTTTAGAGCTAGTGTTTGAATGATTAACAAGTGATCATTCAAAATTATTCACAAATGAGTAAAACAATTGGTTTGGAGGATTGTGGCTTCATTATTAAAAAAATACTATATAAACTAATATGAATACTGCACTGTTTTTGATCTGTACTATAGTAAAGTACTTATTCAAGTACTTCATTCAACTTCAGGTTGTTATGTCACCATAGCAACTACTGAATCACCGGTAGTAATTCTGTAGTTGCTATGGTGACACAAAAACTTTAGTAATATAAACAAATGACCTAATACTGGCGTTTTCTAGGGTAGGTGGAGATAGTAACATTTTTAGCATTTCTTTTAAGTCAGGGTATTCAAACTTTGATTGACACTAGTTCCAAGCGGCTGCTTTTGAATAGCATAAATGTTATCTCTGCAGCACAAGCAGAAAATGCCCAGAGATGTAACATTATGATTTCCACTGGGTGAGATGTAACAGTATGAAATAAGAATTATGATTAAAAAAATAGATTTCAGGATAACCATCAACATGATAGATAGATGTTTTGTGTACATACACTATAAAACCCATTAAATTAGGACAACTCAAACCGTTTGAGAAAACCGTTTGCTACAAACCATTTGAGTTAAAAAATAATCTATATGAGTACTGTGAACTTATAATGTATAAGTAATGAGGTGTTTATTTAACTCATTATCTTCAACAATGTTCAAAACTCATTTCAAATGTGAAGAATTTCAGTACATTTTGAGTTAACTGCACTCATTTCATTTGATAAAGTTGACGGTTGGGTTTTACAGTGTATGGAAGACATTATTATGTTGTGTCTGTTAAACTATTGATTAAACATTTAATAAAGGGCTATTTTCAAATCAAGTAATGGCTCAAGTTGGACTAATAAACACACAGCCAACACAATGAATGAAACAAAAAATTATTTGTTCTTCTAAATATATAATTAAACTTTGGTTCAAACCACATAATTTAATCTAAATCAAAAATATTTATTTATTGTGGCAAACATTACATTCACACCAACATTTTGTTTACTATAGAGACACTAAAAATGTTTTTTACTTTCGTACAAAATGTAATAAATCTGAAAAATACAAGTTAAAATGTTATTAAATTTTATTTCATGTGTTGAAGAGAACCTATCAGTGGCGTTGTGAGAGGGGGGTGGGGGTGGGGGTGGCTGGGCTTTGGGTGCTTAAGCCCCTGGCCTGACGTATTGTCAAAAGCCCCTGACCTTTTGGAATATGTTGCACTTAAATACAAATAGGTTGTATAATATTTATTTTGTTATCTAAGTACTTAAATTTACCACATACATCACGCGAATTCCCCTTAACGCAGCATTTGTGTCGGGTAGGAAAATCTGAAAAAGTCTCTAATGCAAATTAAAAACAAAAAGAATGATTTAATGTTAGATTTCATGAAGGAATTTTTTTTCTAGTTCTGATCCCCCGCTGTAGTCGATGATTGTATCCTAAGTTATTATTTTAGTTTATATATGTAGAAGTATTTTGTAATATTTTTATTTTTTATCTTATTTATTAATTATTTTTTTTTTTGCAATTTTTTATTAATTTTTTTCTCCTGTTATATATTTACTTCATTATTTTTGGTTGTTGTTGTTGTAACTACAGTAATGTTTATGGATATAACATATATCTGAATTATTGTATTTTTACTTTATGTAATGTTATAATAATGCTATAATAAAAAAATAAATAAATAAAAAAAAAGAACTTCGAAACCGAAAAAAAAAAAAAATAAATAAAATTTGTGTCAGGTAATTAAAGTCAGCTATTCAGCAGTACCTGTTTCTACCGGCAGGTGGGAGGGGCACTTTTGTCACATAGGCGACCCAAGCAACGGCCCTGGGACCTATTATGCAAAAAAATAAAATCAATTTTAAGTTGTGTTGCTACAGTGTGTAAAAATATCCAGCCTCTAGTAGTAAAAGTTAAATAACTCTATTGTTTGACATTCTCATTTTGTATGTGTCATCAGAGGCTCATTAGGCCCTTAAACAATTATTAACATACACACTTGTAGGCTTTCTTGAATTTCTTTACAAACTGAATTATTTTCTTTTCGGGCTTAGTCCCTTTATTAATCTGGGGTCACCACAGTGTAATGAACCACCAACTTATCCAGAACATGTTTTATGCAGCGGATGCTCTTCAAGCTGCAACTCATTACTAGGAAACACTGATACACATTCATTCACACACAAACACTGTATGGACATATTAGCCTACCCAATTCACCTGTACCGCATGTCTTTGGACTGTGGGAGAAACCGGAGGAAACCCATGCGAATGCAATGCATGCAACCTCCACACAGAAACGCCAACTGACCCATCCGAGGCTCGAACCAGTGACCTTCTTGCTGTGAGGCGACAGAACTACCTGCTGCGCCACCGCATCAAACTGTTGAATCCAGAATAAGTCTATTTTATATGTGTGATATCTGATATATGTCGTTTATGTAGTAATGTTTGCCTTTTTATATCAATAAAATACACATTAGTTGTTACTTTTTAAAATATTTCCTTTTTTTATTATTTGTAATATAGCTTCTGACTTGTAAGTATCGAAAGAAATCGCTTGATGACAACATAAATTTGTCTTTAAGATCGGAAAATGAGTGCATAGTGTTTTCATTAAATAACTGATCAATTATCAATATCGCACCATGTTTTGAAAGTGGAATCCCATTTGGATGGTAAAAACTCATGGTTATATCAGTTGGCATTTCTGTGTGGAGTTTGCATGTTCTCCCCGTGTTGGTGTGGGTTTCCTCCGGGTGCTCCGGTTTTGCCCACAGTCCAAACACATCGGGGAATTTGATGAACTAAATTGGCCGTAGTGTATGTGTGTGTGGGATTGAGTGTGTATGGGTGTTTCCCAGTACTGGGTTGCAGCTGGAAAGGCATTCACTGTGTAAAACATATGATGGCAATGTTGGTGTTTCATTCCGCTGACCCCTGATTAATATAGGGACTGAGCCGAAAAGAAAATGAATGAATGAAGGATCATGTTATCGATTGATTATTTTCCAATCAACTATTTTTACATGTCTTTACCTCTTTAAAATATAGTCATATTTTTTCCACAGCAGATACAAAGTCAATCAGGCCTCGATTGTTATAAAAGCGAGTGCCTAATTATTGTTCAAATGTTCATTTTCATGTGACGTATATCCTTCATATCATTTCACAGTGTCTTTAGCTCAATCTCTGCTACTCTTCTTGCTTATATTGCTGGTTGTGGGTTGGGAGATCGTCGCCAGTAGTCTTTTCATTGCTCGACTTGAGCTTGTCACATTTGAAGAGCTCCACAAAGGCTTGTTTAAAGCTATCATCCGACAGTGTGTAGAGCGGCAGGTTGAAGATGATGTTAAGCACTGCGATGGGTCTGGAGATGATGTAGGCCACATGTATGCCCTGATCTAACATACAGTTCATCCCAGGTGTGAGCCTCGTGTAGACTCTGAATGCTCGCAGCACATGATACGGAAGAAAACAAATGGTAAAACATGTCAAAATCAATACAATGAGTCTTCTTGCTCGCACCCGTTTGGTGCTCCCCATATGAGGACCCTTCTTTAGCTCTACAATGATGCGCCAATAGCAAGCACAAACCACCATTAAAGGAACTAAATAGCCAAGTACAGTCAACACCCAACTATATGGCCAAACTCTTTGAGGATTGTTGCTCGCAAAATCCGAACAGTGTGTTTCGTTATTGAGGTCAACCGTATCCAAAACATATAAAATAGGACTCAGTTCAGCCAATGTAATAACCCAAACCAGCACACAAGATACAACGCCCCAGCGTTTGCGCCGAATCTTGTGTGAGTGCTGCGGATGCACGATTGCTACATAGCGAAAAATGGACACGCATGATAGGAAGAGGATGCTGCCGTACAGGTTGAAGTGGAAGATGAAGCGGGCGAAGCGACACACGGTGATTCCCAGAGTCCACGAGTCATTCAGCACATAGTAATACACTAAAAATGGCAGCGAGATCATGAAGAGGAGATCTGTGAGGACCAGGTTCACCATGATGATGGTGCTGCTCTTCCAGGGTCGAACCTTGAGCAGATACACCAGAAGAGCTGTGATGTTTCCAATCACGCCCACGATGAAGATGGCACCGTACATGGCTGGCAGATAGTAGCGCTTCATTTTGCTGTCCACATCGGTGCAGTTGTCGCTTGATGTGTTGGTCATGTCGTAGTAAAGGTTGCCAGACATGATCGCACCTGGAGAAAAGTAGATGAAATGTTAAGGTGACGATGGCCATTTTAATTAATTTCATATAAACACACAGCTAAAGTAGTTCCGGCAGGGTTTGAATCATATTACAACTCCATACCACTGATGATCTGAAAAACTGCACAGTCAAAAATCACAGAAGGTTTAGGATTATCTGGCTGAATGCGGTGCTGAGTGAACGTGAGTGGCTGTAAACAGGAGTTTGTCGCCCTCTGCTGGAACTGCATGATGTTATCAATTATTAACAGCCACTGTTCAGCTCTAGCAACATTGTAGAGAGTTTGATTTACTAATCTCATTTACATCACTAGGTTTTGAGTTTCAAAAAGATGCATTGTCTTTCCAGACATGATAATTAGTAACATTTAGATATGTCGAACATTCAAATAAATGCATGTAGGGAAAATACTAATTATATAAATAATTTATTGTAAATACTGTAATAGTTTTAAACTATAGTATAGTATAGTAAAGTACTGAATTCAGCTGTTGTGGCAAAAAATGTGTAGTTGCTAACACAACCACTATATTAATTTTAACAAATTACTGTAGTTTTCTCCAACTGTAGGGTATTATACTACAGTACATCACAATTTAGTGGTAGTAAAGATCTAAGTATTCTACAATATTTATTTCTGTTTTTCAGTTCACTATAGTTAATACTACAGTATAGTATTTATTAACAAAGTTGTAAATATTATAATATATGCATACATTTTGCTATTATAGTGTTCACTATTCACATTACTATAGTATTTTGTTAATGTGGGAAGCAATTTTGTTGTTTTTATTTAATAATATATTTAATATTTACAGTACATGACTTCATGGACTTTATGGGGAAAAAGCCCCAGTTTGGCCACAAGAGGAAGCAAGACTCACACTTAACTTGAAGACATAGCTAGATAGATAGATAGATAGATAGATAGATAGATAGATAGATAGATAGATAGATAGATAGATAGATAGATAGATAGATAGATAGATAGATAGATAGATAGATAGATAGATAGATAGATAGATAGAAAGACATAGATAGATAGATAGATAGATAGATAGATAGATAGATAGATAGATAGATAGATAGATAGATAGATAGATAGATAGATAGATAGATAGATAGATAGATAGATAGATAGATAGATGTACGGATGTATAGATAGATAGATAGATAGATAGATAGATAGATAGATAGATAGATAGATAGATAGATAGATAGATAGATAGATAGATAGATAGATAGATAGATAGATAGATAGATAGATAGATAGATAGATAGATGTACGGATGTATAGATAGATAGATAGATAGATAGATAGATAGATAGATAGATAGATAGATAGATAGATAGATAGATAGATAGATAGATAGATAGATAGATAGATAGATAGATAGATAGATAGATAGATAGATAGATAGATAGATAGACGGATGTACGGATAGATGGATGTATGGATGATTGATGGATGGATGGATGGATGGATGGATGGATGGATGGATGGATGGATGGATGGATGGACGGACAGGTAGGTAGGTAGGTAGACAGACAGATAGAGAGAGAACACTTGAGCAATGCTGAATATTCATCCACCCATAAATATATTTGGATCACATGAATAAATTATATTTTTACAGTTATTTATATATATATATATATATACTGACTGATAGTGGATACAGGTTTTGTGTCTGTGTATTAATAATAAAACATGCCACTGCAAAGCATCAATTGCATACTATTATAGTATTCACAGTAGTACAACCAAGCTGTGTAGCAGCCTTATTTATTAATTGTAATATGAATTTTTAATGTTTAAAGTGATTCATTGTTGTACCCTTATACCACAGCACCAGAGACCCGACATGTTAAGCTATTTTGCAACAATGCAATGTAAAACAGACAGAAAGGATCTGACCAATCACATTAAAACTTTAAGAATGTACTTAAAAATTCAAGCCCTGCATTGAAAAATTCATACCCTCACGTTTGCTGGATGTGAATTAATGGAATGAAATCTGCCCGGTGTCACACTGAGAAATCAAGTAATCAGCGGGCTGAATTAGCCCAGTGAAATCCTCCGAGCACGATAGACTGTGCTTTGACTAAAATAGGATTCGATGGCCTATTTTAGGTGACTCGAAAATGAGAGCATGTTGAAAAGCAGGCCAGACTGAAGGGCAGGACGGCTTTCTGCATCAGAAGGCGTTGGATCTTATATCTCAAACATATCATGATCTCTGCTTCAGTCTGGTTTTGTCGCTCAGGAGGGCTCCTTCGTGCTGCCTGCATGCATTTTTACATTTTCACACTTAGACAGAAGGTGGGGACACCATAAGTGACGAAGCTCGCAGTTAACAGCGTTTATCTTGGCACGGCGAGCTATCGTCGTCTTGCTGTGCCATTCCACCCACTAACAGTGTTTGACTACCTGCTGTCCAGCTGGCCTTTTACTGGCCCGCATCGCAGAGACAGCCATAAAAGCATCCACTGCACTGCTGAATGTGACCTTGTTATGCATTCAGATTCTTAGTAGCATCCACAAAAAATATGTTTGCTATCAATCAGCTGGTGTTTATCAGGCCTGCTGAAGCCATACGACCGATTTCACCTGCTGTGTTTCAGAAATGTGGCAATCATAATGCAATGTGAGCGTGTGTTTGGTGCTGTCCCTGCTGAAAACATAAACTGCATATGCTGATGAGGTGGATTTGGGCAAATGGCTACTGGTTTAAGATGATTTTGAGTTGGTTTAAAATGATCATGTGTTGGTTTAACATAATCGTAAGCTGGTTTAAGATGGTCATGAACTGGTTTAAGATGATCTTGAGCTGGTTTAAGATGATCTTGAGTTGGTTTAGGATGGTCATAGGCTGGTTTAAGATGGTCATAAACTGGTTTAAGATGATTATGAGCGGATTTAAGAAGGTCATAAGCTGGTTTGAGAAGGTCATAAGCTGGTTTAAGTTGATCATGAGATGAATTAAGAAGGTCATAAGCTGGTTTAAGAAGGTGATAAGCTGGTTTAAGATGATCATGAGCTGGTTTAAGAAGGTCATAAGTTGGTTTAAGATGATTATGAGCTGGTTTAAGAAGGTCATAAGCTGGTTTAAGATGATCATGAGCTGGTTTAAGATGACCATGAGCTGGTTTAAGATGGTCATAAGCTGGTTTAAGATGGTCATAAGCTGGTTTAAGATGGTCATAAGCTGGTTTAGGATGACCATGAGCTGGTTTAAGATGGTCATAAGCTGGTTTAAGATGACCATGAGCTGGTTTAAGATGGTCATAAGCTGGTTCAAGATGGTCATAAGCTCGTATAAGATGACCATGAGCTGGTTTAAGATGGTCATAAGCTGGTTTAACATGGTCATAAGCTGGTTTAAGAAGGTCATAAGCTGGTTTAAGTTAATCATGAGATGAATTAAGAAGGTCATAAGCTTGTATAAGATGATCATGAGCTGGTTTAAGATGGTCATAAGCTGGCTAAGATGATCATGAGCTGGTTTAAGATGGTCATAAGCTGGCTAAGATGATCATGAGCTGGTTTAAGATGGTCATAAGCTGGTTAAGATGATCATGAGCTTTTATAATATGATCATAAGCTGGTTTAAACCAGTTCTTGCTGGACATGAGATGTTTTAAGCTTTTTTTTGCTCCATGAGCTTAAGCTGGTTCTTGCAGGTCGTAAGCTGGTTTAAGATGGTTATTTGCTGGTTTACACTGGGTCATAGAAAAAGAAAAACAGTTTAACCAGCTCATAACCATGCACCTTAAAATTAGCTCATGATTAGACCAGCAAGAACCTGCAAAGAACAATCTTAAATAAACTCATGACCTGCAGGAACCAGTTTAAACCCACAAAGAGCAATATTAAGCCAATAAAAACGGCTTAAACCAGGTAGAAACAATCTTAAACCAGCAAGAACCAACTTAAACTAGCTCATGGCCTGCAAGAACCAGCTTTAACTAGCAAAAGTGAACTTAAAGCAGCAAAGAACAAGCTTAAACCTGCTCATGACCTGCGATAACCGGTTTAAACCAGCTCATGACTCACAATAACCAGCTTAAAAATGCTAATGATCTGCAAGAATCATCTTAAACAAGCTCATGACCTGCAAAAACCCGCTTAAACCAGCTCATGATATGCAAGAATCGTCTTAAATCAGCTCATGACCTGCAAAAACCAGCTAAAACCAGCTTCTGACCTGCAAAAACCAGCTAAAACTAGCTCAAGACCTGCAAAAAACAGCTAAAACTAGCTTATGACCTGCAAGAAGCAGCTTAAACCAGCTTAAATGTGTGAAATGCAACATCTCAACAGTGGCTTTAACTGTGGGAAGAGTATAAGCAGAATAATTCCCTCTGGGTTATTGAAGTATTAGAAAATAATGTACACTGATTATAATTTGGCAGCCCATCATCAAATATTCCTTCCACATTCTCTTGACTCGAGGTCTGCTAGTAACGTGCGGTGCAATACAGGGGATCAAATGTGCTTACATCTATAAATCTGTATGCATGTAGAATATAAGTGCACACTTGGTCGTGTCTCTGAATGTCTGTCAGTGTTCGTGTGTGTGTGTGTGTGTGTGTGTGTGTGTGTGCCTGATGGGGGATGTAGGTGTTGCGTGGGCTGCTTTGCCATTGGCTTTCCTCCTCATTCCAGTAAGTCTCCTCTCTGTTTTTTCTTTTTTTCATTCTCACGCCCTCGCTGTTGCCAGCCACAGAAAAAAATCTCTCTTCTGCTGTTGTTCGAGCATCTCTGCCCACCTAGCAGCCAGTGTTTTCCTCGTGTCTTCAGTCTGTCTGTATTCACTCTGTCTGTATGTGCAGTTAAACACTGACTGCGGGGTCACACACTCTTATACACACCCACGCCTGCTGTGATTCAGGAGCTGGTGAATCCCTCACACACACACAGTAGAGCTCACATGCAGCATTTCTGGGGTTAAATATAAATAAATGTTTATTCCGCTAA